CTTGTTACCCAGGCTGGAGTGCAATGGCGTGATCTCGGCTCACCGCAACGTCCGCCTCCTGGGTTCAGGCAATTCTCCTGCCTCAGCCTCCCAAGTACCTGGGATTACAGGCACGTGCCACCATGCCCAGCTAATTTTTTGTATTTTTAGTAGAGATGGGGTTTCACCATGTTGACCAGGATGGTCTCGATCTCTTGACCTCGTGATTCACCCGCCTCGGCCTCCCAAAGTGCTGGGATTACAGGCGTGAGCCACCGCGCCGGCAGTCTTTATTCTTAAGTCTCTTTCAAATGTTACTTTCTCAGGGACCTTAGCTCATCTCTCTTTGTAAATGTCTCATCCCTTCCCACTATTTCTTTTTTGTTTTTTCTTTGTTTTCTTTCTTTGAGACAGGCCTCACTTTGTGGCCCAGGCTGGAGTGTAGTGGCATGATCTGGGCTCACTGCAGCCTCGACCTCCCCAAACTCAGGTGATCCTTTTACCTCAGTCTCCTGAGTAGCTAGGGCTACAGGCCCGGCCACCTCACCTGACTAATTTTTCTATTTTTGCAGATATGGGGTCTTGCTATGTTGCCCAGGCTAGTCTCTAACTCCTGGGCTCAGGTGATCCGTCCACCTTGACCTCCCATGGTGTTGGGAATCACAGGTGTGAGCCACCACGTCCGACCCCTATTATCTCTATCACATCACTTTTTCTTTCTTGGCACAATCTGTGATTATGTTATGTGTTACTCATTTATTTCTGACTTCTCCTAGAATTAAACCCACAAAGGTAGGTATCTTTCCCCTTTGGCCCACTAATGAATCCTCATTACCTGGCTGAGAGCCAGGCACACCATGGTCACTCAGTAACTGTTAAATGAGAGTGCTGGGGTCCCACATTCCCGGGTTCTGGGAGGGGAGGGGCAGGCGGGGCTGGACTCCTGGGTCCCTGCACAAAGTTAGGGGGCTTAGGAAACTTGGGTCCAACCTTGGTTCCTGCTCCCCTTCTCTCCATTCTTTGTTTCTTCCAGGCCCCACATTGAGCCACGGGGCCATCGCTGGCATCGTTCTGGGCTCCCTACTGGGCCTGGCACTGCTGGCCGTACTCCTCCTCCTTTGCATCTGCTGCCTGTGCCGCTTTCGGGGTGAGCTGGGGGACCGGGTAAGGGGCAATCACAGGAAACTGGGAGGGACCCTAGAAAGAGGCCCATAGAAGACCTGGCTGAGCCAATCGGCGCCATCATAGGTCATCCATCCTGCCTTCCTACCCTCAAATCAGCCAAATAGCATAAGGCTTCACTTCTCAGATCAGCTTCCCTTGCTATTGGCTGGGTTGGCATGTTGGGTCAGCCAATCACATGCTTTTCCTCCTTCTCTCAATCAGGAAAGACTCCTGAGGAAAAGAAGCATCCCTCTACCTTGGACCCCGTGGTCACCCCCTCGGAAAAGAAGACGCACAGTGTGACCCCAGTGGAGATTTCATGGCCTCTGGACTTCAAAGTCCCACTGGAGGACCACAGCCCAATTAGGGCCCACCAAGTGAGTGTGGGTGCCCCCATTTCCTTCTGGAATCAGGGCGGAACTTTGTGTATTATAATCAGGGAGATGAGAAGGTCTCGATCATCTGACAAGTTTTGCTTGTCAGTTTACAGTCTGTGTAACTTTATCCTTTAAAAGTGCATCATAGTTGGACAGAGCTTCCTGCCCAACTTTGATGTATATTAAAATAAGCGAATTCCAGTTTCTCTTCCAAAGGAGGATGAGGTAGGATATCCTTTTTATTTTTATTTTTTTGAGATGTTGTTTCGCTCTTGTTACCCAGGCTGGAGTGCAATGGTGCGATCTCGGCTCACCGCAACCTCCGCCTCCTGGGTTCAGGCAATTCTCCTGCCTCGGCCTCCTGAATAGCTGGGATTACAGGCACGCGCCACCATGCCCAGCTAATTTTTGTATTTTTAGTAGAGATGGGGTTTCACCATGTTGCCCAGGATGGTCTCGATCTCTTGACCTCGAGATCCACCCGCCTCGGCCTCCCATAGTGCTGGGATTACAGGACTGAGCCACCGTGCTCGGCCAGATATCCTTTTTTTTTTTTTTTTTTTGAGATGGAGTCTCACTCTGTCACCCAGACTAGTACAAGGGTGCGATCTCGGCTCACTGCAACCTCTGCCTACCGGATTCAAGTGATTCTCCTGCCTCAGCCTCACGAGTAGCTGGGATTACAGGTGCACATCACCATGCCCAGCCATTTCTTTGTACTTTTTAGTAGAGATGGGGTTTCACCATGTTGGCCAGGGATGGTCTTGATCTCCTGACCTTGTGATCTGCTGATCTTGGCCTCCAAAAGTGCTGGGATTACAGGCATGAGCCACCTCGCCTAGTGTTTTTTTTTTTTCTTTTTTCTTTTTTTGAGAGCGAGTTAGGCTCTGTTGCCCAGTCTGGAGTACAGTGGTGCCATCTCCACTCACTGCAGCCCCTGCCTCCTGGGTTCAAGCAATTTTCCTGCCTCAGCCACCTGAATAGTTGGGATTACAGGCAGGTACCACCACATGTGACTAATTTTTGTACTTCTAGTAGAGATGGGGTTTCACCATGGTAGGTAGCCTGGTCCCGAACTCCTGACCTCAAGTGATCTGCCCACCTCGGCCTCCCAAAGTGCTGGGATTATAGGCTTGAGCCAGTATTCCCGGCCCCTCCTTTTTTCTTTTCCATAAAAATTGGGCAAGGCCAATTTTTCTCTATGAAGTAGGGTGGAGTTTTCTTGTTTCCCTGTAAAAGTGGGGTTGTGACTGGGCGTGGTGGCTCATGCCTGTAATCCCAGCACTTCAGGAAGTTGAGGTGGGAGGATCACTTGAGCCTAGGAGTTCGAGACCAGCCTGGGCAACATAGGGAGACCCCATCTCTATGAAAAAATTTTAAAGTATTCTGGCATGGTGGCACCTGCCTGTAGTCCCAGCTACTAGGGAGACTGAGATGGGAGGATTGCTTGGGTTTGAGAGGTCAAGGCTGCAGCGAGCTATAACGGTACCACTGCACTCCAGCCTGGATGACAGCGTGAGACCCTATCTCAAAACAAAAACAACAACAACAACAAAAAACTGAGTTGTTGCCTGGCTTAGCTCCACCAAAGATAGCCAAATTTTTTTTTTCCTTCTGCAAATGGAAGGTGCTCAGATAATTTCTAAAAAGTTCAAGCAAGAGCTGGAAAAAGTTAGGTGGGTGAATCATGTCACATCAGGGCACCTACTGAGTTATCCCCCCACCCCACCTCTCTCTTCCAGGCCATAGACCCCAGTCCAGTTGTCTCTGTAGGTGGAGGCCCAAAGACTGTTCGGGCAGCCACGCAGGTGTGATCAGAGCCAGTGGCCTGCCCTGCACAGGGCATTTTGGGCCAGCACTTCCTGTGTCACTCCAGCAGTGGACAGGGCCTGCTATGGCTGACGGTTGGACCCTGAAAGTGGGACTTTCTGTCTCCGTCTCATGCTGCAGAAGAGGAGTCTTCCCGTATTTGTGCAAGTAAGGAGATGTGACTGCTTGGCTGGAAAAGTCCTCCTGATCTAACAGTGTGGTTTGTACAACCTCCAAGGCTCTGCAGCAGACAGGCAGGGTTGCTGTGTTGCTCTGAACTAGGGAGGGAGCTTGGCCTTGTTCTCTAAAAAGATCCCCCTACATTCACTTTGCCACAGGTAGGCCACACCCCATCCAGCTCCCAGCATCTTCATTTTAAAAACAGATCAGATCATGTCTGTCTTCTCTTTAAACCCTTCTGTGGCCTGTGCATTTCCCTTCAGATACTACCCAAAGTCCTCATCGTGACCTTCGGAGCCTTGTGGTCTGGCTTTTGTCAGCCTCCCTGACCTCCCTTCCCAAGATGTTCTCTGTCCCCTGACTCCAGTATCACAGTCTGTCTCTCAGCCGCAGTTGATTTTGTCCCTGGAATTTGCTCTGCTTAGAACATTTCTTTTTCCCGTATGTTATCCATTTCTCAAGTCTAAGGGTAACAGTTGCCATCTCAGGTGACGAATCCCTTACCCCTCCCTTAGTCTTGGGTTAAGTCCCAGAATCCTTGAATTTGCTGTGCCTGATACATAAATATGTAATTACTTGTGTGGCCTCAGACTCTCTCTCTAAACTAAGGGCTTCACGAAAGCAGAGACCACATCATTATCTCAGCACTTAACCCAGAGCCTGGCACATAGTAGGCAATCAATAAATATTTGTTGACTGATCAAATGTTTTGATGCCAGTGAAGAGTTGGGCTTGCTACCGCTGTCTTCAGCATAAATTACGCTTTTTCAGCTGAGTTTCTAATTGAGAATTTAGAGAGTGCATTGCTGAGGATTCTTTTGACTGCAAGGAACAAAATAAAATGCTGGCAAGGAATATGGAGGTGGGTGGTTTCAGGCTGGCTCAGCAACTCAGTGATGCCTTTAAAGACATGGGCCCTTTGCATCCATCTGCTCTGCCACCCTCAGTGGGTTGGCACATTGTCTCCAAGCATGTTGCCTCATGTAGCAAGATGGTTGCTGCAGCTCCAGTCATCACATCTTCATACAACTGTATCCAAAGATAAACTGAAGGAGGCAGAACTTCCTTCTTATATATCTTCCCCACCCCCCTACCTCCCCCTATCACTGCCTTCTTCCCTCGCATAGGGTGGGAGGAGGGCTTTCCTGGAAACCTATGAGCAAACTTCCTTTTATGTCTCTTTGACCCATATTGACCTCATAGCTGCAAAGGAGGCTGGGAAACCAAATATCTAGCCTGTATCATAACAGGTAGATCTGCCAGCAAAGAACAAGGAACCAAACAACTCAAATTTGGGCACCCAGCATCTGTCTCAGGGAAGGAAAGCATGTGAGAGAACTTCTGTTCAATGACTGGGGTAGAAAAGGCCATTGGGAAATAGAACCCCTGGGTCCTTTGGAAAGGTGAGGGCTGGAGTTCTGGGCCCTCTACATCTCTTCTGTATCTATTTCATTTTCCTTTTTGTTTACTAGAGATAGAAAACCAATGCAAATTGGTTTAAATATACAGGGGACTTTATTGCTTATATAAATGAAGATATGGGCATCAGTTAAGTTTTGATCCAGCTGCTCAAATGATACCATCATGGACTCAGTTTCTCGAAGGTTCCCACTACTTCTTAGCGTTCCTGTTATTCGCAGGCTCCATGTGCTGTCTGCTTTACCACTGCTATCCCCACAGACCCAAGATGTCTCCATGTGATGGAGAAAAAGCAACTCTGCAGATACAGACCTCACATCACAGAGCCACATCTCTTCTCAGGAATGCATTCACTTTCTCATTAGCCTTACTGGGTCATGTGCCCATCTCTAAGCCAATCCACGGTGGGAAATGGGATATGCTGAGTGGCTTAGGCCAATCACAGGGCATCTCTGTAATGAGTCAATTCCAAGCCTACCGATGAGAAAGTAGGTGGTAGGAAGGATGCTGGAGAGGCACCAGTTGATGCTTCCCTTTGCCCTTCATTAACTCAAATCCTTAATGACACTGACACCTGCAGGCAGACTTTGGAAAAAGGCGTTTATTGGTGTGGTGGTCTCAACACTCCCCATGAATTGGAACACACGGCCCCCAGGGCCCCCCACCCCTCCCTGGCATCCCTCCCCAGTCCCACCCCATCCCCTGGACCCTGGGAATGGAAGACAATGTGGGATGGGGCCCGTGCCCCTGTCTGAGGTACAGTCACTGCGCCTTGCCCTCTCCTCTTCTCCACCAGACTCTGGGTGGTGTGGTTTGGGGTGGGTGTTTATATAGAGGGTCTCCTGGGAGTCGAAGCTGTTGACATGGCATCTGTGTCTGGGCTCAGGATCTGTGTGATGTGTCTCTGTCCCCTACTTGGTATGGTGTGGTGTACCAGGGTGGTGTATTCCTACAATCAGAGCTGAGGCTGCAGCCTCTCAGCATCGCTTCCTGACAACAGATGCCAACCCAGGAGGAACTACAGCTAGTCACCAGCTACAGGACAGCTGGAGCCAGGGGGCTATTGGCTGGTCACAGTCGCTGGTGTGTGTGTGTGTGTGTGTGTGTGTGCGTGCGCGGTCAGGTAGCCTTTGGGAGGTACAGTTGGTGGAGAGGCCAGGGAGTGATAGATCAGCAAGCCCACACCTGTGGGCCGGCTGTAAAGGCCCCAAGGGCAGCTGGCTGGTGCCACAGGTGGGGAAGTCAAGGCCAAGGGGAGTGGTGGCAGGGGTAGGGCAAAGCACTGAAACAGACAGGTGACTCCTGCCACCAGTCTGACAGTTGGATGGAAGCACCGATTGGCCCAGGAGGGGGCCAGAAAATCCAGAGTGGGGAGGGACAGGGAAAGTGGGAAGATCTCAGGCTACTGAGCCAGCAACGGGGCCTCTGGCTACAGGAAGCTGGTGGTTGACAGCAGGGAAGCCCAGAGCCCAGATGGAGGTCCCCCACTTACTCACAAAGGCTGAATGACAGCTTGACAGGTGAATACGACACCTCTCCCCACTCCCAACCTGCTAGGAGATGCCCTTTCAACAGGGGGAGGGTAAGTGTGTGTGCATATGTTGGGGAAGCAGAGAGCCTGGTAAGCCTCTCTTCACAGCTTCCACTGCAGAGCCCCACGCCTACGTCCAGCCACAGGTGAGAGGCAGTAGGGTTGGGGACAGTGGACATGGGGTGTCGGGGTGGGAGGATGGCTGAGGTCCCCTCCCCCAGCCCACCCACCCACACACACAAGAGACACAGACACCTACACACGCAGCAGGCTCACACTCACACAGTCACACCCACACGAGCCAGTTGACAGCCTGAGCTAAGAGAGAGGGGTATGGGGTGGCGGGAGTGGGTCACAATCGGAAATGTGAACGGGTGGCGAGAATGGCTGTAGAAAGATGCATAATTTTGCGTTATCCCTCACAGTGACGGGTTCTCTAAAGATCTTTCTTCCTCTGCCTCCTCCTCTTCCTCCTCTCCTCTTATTCACTCGGTGGCCGAGAGCTCTTCTGCCCCCCGAGACCCATGGCTCCCGCTCCCCCTTTTCTCTCACTCTTGGCCTGAGGCCCCCTGTGGGGGGAGGCGAGCTCCACTGGGTTGCGCCTACATTCTCCACCACAGCCAGCCCAGGGCGAAGAGGAGGGCCAGGGGCCCTGGGGGCCTCGGGGCTGAGTTCTCCAGGGATCCTGGGCCTGTGGGAAGAGAGGGGGTCATGGAGGGAGGCCTGAGAGTGGGGGACCCCTTGGTGTTTCTCCAGGGGACCTGTCTGTCTGAACCACCTCTTAGGGGCCTTTCTGGATCTCTCACTAGGTGTGCCTGCTTTTCTGACTCTTTATTTTATTGTTTTTTTTTGAGATGGATTCTTGCTCTGTTGCCAGGTTGGAGTGCAAGTAGAGTGCGATCTTGGCTCACTGCAAGCTCTGCCTCCCCGGTTCAAGCGATTTCCCTGCCTCGGCCTCCTAAATAGCTGGGATTACAGGCGCATACCACCACATTTGGCTACGTTTTTGTATTTTAGTAGAGATGTGGTTTCACCGTAGGACCAGGATGGTCTCGATCTCCTGACCTCGTCATCCGCCTGCCCTCAGCCTCCCAAAGTGCTGGGATTACAGATGTGAACCACTGAGCTGGCTTTTATTATTTAAAAAAAAAAAATTTTTTTTTTTTTGAGACAGTCTCGCTCTGTCACCTAGGCTGGAGTGCGGTGCGCAATCTCGGTTCACTGCAACCTCTGCCTCCTGGATTCAAGCAATCCTTCTGTCCTCAGCCTCCTGAATAGCTAGGACTACAGGTGCCCACTACCACGCCTGACTAATTTTTGTGTTTTTTTAGTAAAGACGGGGTTTCACCATATTGGCCAGGTTGATCTCAAACTCCACCCCTCAAGTGATCAGCCTGCCTTGACCTCCCAAAGTGCTGGGATTACAGGTGTGAGCCACTGCACCCAGAATGTTTCTAGAAGATCCTCTCAGATCTTCACTTCTTTTCACTGTCTTAGCCTGGGACTCAGTGTCTGCCTTTCTATCTTGCAGAGTCTGTCTATCTGGCATTTCTGACAGTCTCTTATACTCAGCATGCCCCAAACTGCTGTCTCCCACACTTTCCTCCCCACACACTGGCTTCCAGCCTCCCTCCTAATCACTTCTCTGTATCAATACTTCAATGTACAGCCCCATCCACCCAGCTCCTCAAGCCAAAACCTCAGAACCACCTTTGACTCGACTTTCCTCTCCATCAGCCCTGCACATCCAGTCCAATGACTGGTCCTAGGAGCACCACCTCCAAAGTCTCTCAATACAGAGACTGGTGCCACTCACTGCCATCCCTTACCTGATGAACTACAGCAGCCTCCTCCCTCGTCTCCCTGCCTGCATTTGCCACCACTCCATTGCTCTATTTTATTGAGACAAGGCCTTGCTCTGTCCCCAGGCTAGAGTGCAGTGGTGCAATCATAATACCTCACGGCAGCCTGGACCTCCCCAGGCTCAAGCAATCCTCCCACCTCAGCCTCCTGAGGAGCTGGGACTATAGGCGTGCAATACCTAGTTAGGTTGATTTTTAATTTATTTTTGTAGAGATGGGGTCTCACTATGTTGCCAAGGCAGGTTTCAAAGTCCTGGGCTCAAGTGATCCTCCCTTCTTGGACTCTCAAAGTGCTAGGATTACAGGCGTGAGTCACCACGTCCAGCTCCAAAACTATTTTTGTTTATATATGGTTTGCTGATTTATCTGCATGTCCACTTGTTTGTTTATTGCTTTTTCTACTCCTACTAACCATAAGCTCTGCGAATGCACAAGCCTTGTTTCTTTTGTGCACGGCTGTGTCCCCCACGCCCAGCCCTTAGCTGGCGCTCAAGGACTACTGATTGCGTGGGTCGGTTCCTTACTGGCAGTGCTTTTCAGTCTCAGAGTCGGCCTCCTAAGCTCAGGGTCCGCCTGAGGGGCGGTCCCGGCGTCTCCACCTCCCTAGCCCCGACCCGCCCACCTGCCCGGCCCCGCCCCCGACCCGCCCCCAGACGCCACGCAACAGCCGCATGGAGGCGCTGGATGCTCCCAACCGGTTGGCGGCTCGACACGTTAGTTGCCGTTAATGCCGGGCGCTCACGTTGGCGAAAAGAAGCATCGAGCGGGGTGCGCTCCGTCTGCACCTTCAGGCCCTCGGCCGTGCCGCTGCTCAGCCTGTCGGGGATCTGGATCAGGGGCCGGGCCGCAGCGCTCAGCCAGGCCCGCCCCCTGCCTCTCAGGCTCCTCTGTTTTTCGGTTTTCCGGAGACCCAGCATTCTGTCCCCTACCCCAGTGACCTCTTGCCTCGGGTTCTAGCGCCTCATGGACCCCCGGTCACTCCCACCACTGCCTCTCTGCAGGCACCCTGGCCTCTCAGGGACCCTGGACTCTCTCAGGGTGCACCCCCAGCCACTAGGGACTCCCGAACTCTGCTTCTCCCCTAAACCTTGCCTGACAGATCCTCAGCATTGACCCCCGACCCCTGACCAGCTCTCTGAAAAGTCCGGGGAGATGAGGCTCCAGCATTCATCACCTTGGGACCCAAGCTTGTCTCCCTAGGGCTGTACAGATCCCATCACCTAGAAGCGGGACGCACCAATTCCCGGAACCCAGAGCTCTGCTGCCTTCCCCCGCCCCCCCTCCATCCCCCTGCCCCACAACCCAAGGGACTAAGGACCTCCCCCTGCCTCTCCCACGGCCCCCCTCAGTGCCGTCCTCACAGTCTGTCGTCCTTGTACCACTGGAAATCCGCAGGGGGTACCGCCATGGCTTCGCAGCGCAGGAGGGCGGCCCGGCCCAGAGCTGTGCGGGCGCTGGTCACGTCCGTGATGGGTCGGAGGATCTGGCGAGGGCGAGGACAGCGAATTCTCTTAGCCGCGTGGGGGACAGAAGAGGTCCCGCCCCCAGCCCCGCCTCCCTCAGGCCGGGAAATCTTGCCCCGGGCTTCCTTCTCCCTCAGACTCCTCCTCCCGGGGACTCGGGGCTCCGCCACCCCTTTCGTGCCCGTGCGCGGGATGGGGGGGTCTGAGCTCACAGTTGACTGTGACCACACGCGGCGGCTGTCGGGCGCTGAGTTAACCCCGTTGTGAGTCACACATCATACTCGCCGGCCTGGCCCCGCTGGAGTGTCAGAGATCTCAGGATCTCTCCTCCGAGGTGAAGCCGTCTGTGGAGGGAAGGAGGAGGAGGGGGCAGGGCCCGGACACAAACACTTAACACGGGACAACACGGGCACAACACGGACACACATCAGCGGGGGCGGCACGGCAAGGCCTGGAGTGCCCGGTCAATGGGGTTGGGGGTGAGGGAGGGGCTTACGGGGCCGGGG